TTTAAAAGACCATTAAAATAGTAGCTTCTGATGATAGAAATCTGAATAATAGTTCAGATGAGTAGGTACAGATTGGGAAGGGGGATGAAGGAGACTTCTGGGTCGTTGGAAATGTCCTAAACATGATAGTTACGTGGGTGTTTTTTACAAAAGCAAAAATTCATTAAGCTGTACACTTAAAACAAGTCCACTTTATGCATTTTACTTTATACGTGCTATCAATCAAAAAAAGATTGATACCTTTGCGAGCAAGAGTTTTGTCCCATTCACTATAGTACTTCCCCTAACATGGTGCTTTGCACATCAACATTAAAAAAATATGATATATGATTGATTATACTAATAACGGAGTGTCATGCAAGGGTAAGGTGCTCAGGAAGTACATGAGAGACACTTGAGTTTAGACCTGCTACATACAGTGGAGAGAAGTAGCAAGGTCAGGGTTATGAAATAATCCTAAAAACGTTAGAATTTCTACCTAATAAACTATTTTTAATACAGCTGCTTTCAATCTCAAAGGGGTGCAGGAGAGTTTTTAAAAGAAAGGGGAGCCAGGTATGGTGGCTCATGCCTATAATCCTAGCACTCTGGGAGGCCAAAGAGGGAGGATCACTGGAGTCCAGGAGTTTGAGACCAGCCTAAGCAACATAGCAAGACCCTGTCTCTACCAAAAAAAATAAAATAAAAAAAAAAGAAAAAAAAAAAAAAAAAAAAAAAAAAAAAGGAAAGAAAAGGGAGACAGCAGGTCAAGGAAGAGGAAGTATATTTCACAAGACTTAAGTAATCTTGGGATCACTGCTTTTCTAGCCAGGTTAAATACTTTTCCCTTCAAAAATTATATCCTTATCTACATTTTTATAATTACTCCTATGTCAATTTTACCTTCCCTGTCTAATAACAGCTACCATTTATTCAGTACCAACTCTGCTAGGAACTGTACTAGGTGCTGGAGTCCCAAAGATGAATGAGACATTGATACAAAACAATCCACTGCAAAAAAGAAAAATAAAAAATAAAAAAAAGAAAGATGAATGAGACACACACTTAAATGACTATAACTGCATGAGATCAACTGTGTAATACGGACATATACAAAGATGCATCTCTAGTAGGAAGGCAGAACCAAGCTTCACAGAGGAGAAGCCCAGTCTTAAGGGATGAGTGTTCTAGTTGTAGAAGAGCAGAGTGGGTAACGCTAAAAGTATGGAGGCCTGACAAAGAATGTTTTTTTCAAGGAATGCTATAAAATAAAGAGAATGGAGCATTTTGAATGAATCATATGGAAAAGATTATTGTTGGGGGAAAGAATGAAAGCCTTTACTAAGAAAGCAGCGGGAATGAAGAAGGGACAAATTCAAGAGTAGGCAGACTCAAAAGGATTTCATTAAGTATGAATGTGAGGAATAAACAGAATAAAATATGATTTTGAGGTTCCTATTAAATATATAGGGTGGTAGGGTAAATGGTAGTGCCACTAAGAAAAGTAAAGAATGCAAGACAAGGAGCCAGTTTATACGGGCATTCAGGTAGCATGAGAATCACTGATGAGATTACCCCGGGGAAACAAAATAGCACCAACTGAGGGCTGGGGTCGAGATTCAAGGCATAAAAACCTCAGAGAGAAATCTTTTCTACCACAGAAACCCCAGAGAGTTCCAAACAGGGAATTGTCATGTTGGGTAAAAGGTTATGAATAGGTCAGGCAGGGTGAGGAGTGGTAAAAAGATACCACATTTGACAAGTGGGTAATCTCTAGTCATCTTTCCCAGAATATCACAGGAAAACAGTAGGAGCTAAAGACAGAGATGGATAGGCTCAGGCATGACAAGAAATGAGGAAATGGAGGCTGAAGCTATTTCAGAAGTCAGGATGCAATGGGAAGGAGAATAAGGGTGGCAGAACAGTTTTTCTTTTTAGGCTAGAGAATACACATTTACCATGTTCACTAAATGGCTATGTAAGCATATAGGAAACAGGATGAAGAGCAAGGACGTGGCACCAGTAGAGTTTGGGAGAGGAGGACACCTTTTCTTCAGAAACCAAAAGTGGGTGTTATAAAAACAGACGAAAGTATAAATACATTTAGACACAGAGAAGAACTACGTTGCCAAATTCATTTTAAATTATAAAATACCTTCTACGATCAGTAAATAGCAACTGAAAAATGAAAAATCCATTGGAAAAACTCTAAACACAGACATAGCATTATGTTAGTTCAGTTTATGCAGGAAAAAAACTGCAAAACAAGTCAACATTTAGTTTACAAAAATCCATTTATTCCAATAGTGTTTAATCAATGCTAATCAATACAAAATTATGAGATTCTGTATTTAAAAAAAATACCTATCAATCACCATCTGGAGATATCCTAAGTTCATATTTTGAACAGGAAATGCTTTCAGGCTTTTCTTTCTCCCTGGTAAGTTCTACTAAAAGTATGTTATATGCTTATGATTTTTAAAATTTATGTTACAGAAATATTTCCTTTCGAAATCATAATTTATGTAAAATAGTAATGGTACTAAATTAGAGGTCTTTATAATATTTTTGTTTTGCTTCCTGGACTATTCTGACCCCAAGTTTTATCTTGCTCTCCTTCCTATTTCCCAGCATCATTCAACTCAGAATTTTTATTTAATAACATTCACACACTTCAGTAAATTGATTCAGTAAATTGACTACTTTATATAAATTTATAATTAGGCTGGACATTATATAAGTGAAATTATACATTATTTCTAGCTAGGAATGAATTCAACATTTAGAGAGTAGGTTCTAGTTGTAAAACAAACTAGGTCTTTGATAAGTTACTTAGCATCATGACAATTCTACCATAATTAAGATTATTGCTCAAATTCTACCATCATTTTGCCACTGGGATTATTCTGCTTTCAAATCATTTGGATTATCATTATTAATCCTGGACTTGAAAGTATATGATTCTGATATAAACTCAATGTCACATTAAATAAAACATCTAGTAATTAAAGCTATTCTTCCTTTCAAAAAAAAGTTCCGGCTACCCGTGGTGGCTCATGCCTATAATCCTAACACTTTGGGAGGCTGAGATGGGAGGATTGCTTGAGGCCAGGAGTTCAAGAACAGCCTGAGCAACAGCAAGACGCTGGCCCTACAAAAAAATAGAAAAATTAGCCAGTCATGGTGGTATGCACCTATAGTCCCAGGTATTCGGGAGGCTGAGGCAGAGAATGACCTGAGCCCAGAAGTTTGAGGTTGCAGTGAGCTATGATGATGCCACTGCACTCAAGTCTGGGTGACAGAGCAAGATACTGTAGGAAAAAAACCAAACAAAATAGCCAGGCACAGTGGCTCACACCTGTAATCCTAGCACTCTGGGAGGCTGAGGTGGGAGGATCACTTGTGCTCAGGAGCTTGAGACCAGCTTGAGCAAGAGCAAGAACTCGTCTACTAAAAATAGAAAAACATTATCCAGGTGTGAGCACAAGCCTGTAGTCCCAGCTGCTCAGGAGGCTGGGGCAGGAGGATCTCTTGATCCCAGGAGTTTGAGGTTGCTGTGAGCTAGGCTGACGCCATGGCACTCTAGCCTGGATAACAGAGTGAGACTCTGTCTCAAAAAAAAAAAAAGAAAAAAGAAAAAAACCAATTTCTATTAGTAATACTTAAATGTTCAGTAAATATTTACTGAGTGCTTAATATGAGGCAGACACTTTTCTACAAATTGGAGATTCAACAGTAAACAAAACACAAACATTTCTGCCCTCATAGAGCTTGTATTCCAGTACAGAAAAACAAACAGTAAACAAATAAATGCTTAGTAAGGTCAGATGGTGGTTAAGTGCTATGAACATATATAAAGCAAGGTAGACAGGGAATGCTGATGTACAGTCAAGGAAGGCCTTGATATGGTAACAGTTGAGTGAGACCTGAAGGATGTAATGGAGTGAGCTGTGCATCTACCTGGGAAAAGAACAGTCAAGGCAGAGAGAATACCAAGTACAAGGAGTCTGAGGCAGGAGCATACTTGGTGCACTAAGGCCAGAGTGCCTGGAGCTGCATCAGGAAGGGAGATATCACAGTTCATGAGGAGGGAAGTCTAGGCCTGTTGATTTTAAGGACTGTTACCTCTACTCTGAGTAAGATGGGAAGCCACTGGATGGTTCTGAGCAGATGAATGATGTGATTTGACTTGTTTTAAAAATAATCCCTCTGGCTACTTTAGGGGAACAAGAGCACAAGGATAAGGATACAAGGAGGTTTTTGAAGACGATAGCTTCAATCCAGGCAAGAGACGATAGTGCCTTGGAATAGAATGTTAAAAGTAGAGGTCAAAAGAGGTGGTCAGCTTTGGATACATTTTTAAGGTGGGGCCTACTAGATTTGCTAATGGATAGTGGATATAGGAAATAAAAGAAGAATCAAGGATCACTCTAAGGTTTTTGGCCTGAGCAACTAGAAGCATGGCATTGCCATTTACTGAGTTGGGGAAGACTGAAGGAGAAGCAAGTTTGAGAGGGAAGATGCAGAACTCAGTATTGCATATGTTGAGTTTGAGCTTTAATTAGATTCCTAAGTAGATGACAAACAGGCAGTTTTATGAGATCACAGAGAATGAGGACATCTAAGAAAGAAGAGAGGTCCAAGGAAACTTCTTCCTCTTAAAAAATACGGTATAAAGTTAAAATCCTAAGTAACTTTAAAGGTATGGATTTAATTAGTATAAAATGTAGACAACCTCCCATACCTTGAAAGCTTGCTTCAACTGCCTTCTGCCCAACTTAATTAATATTTTAAAGCAGTTTTGATTTACATATAAATCTAAGAAACTCCAGGAAGCCTCAGAAAACCCCTTAGGGGTTACCTTGGCCCATGGGCCTCAAAAATAATACAGAATTTATTTTTCCAATGACATAGCCATTACAGGTTTTACCTCAAATTTGCTTGAAAGCAAATATCAGTTAATTCATTTAACTAAGAATACATTAATACATTATTAAAGAAGTAGAAAAATGCACATTGGGAAAAACCGGAAAAGCTTGTTTTAATGTTCTCTTCAGAGTCTGTCCTGCGGAAATGTCATGGGCCTCTAAAGAGAGAATTCAGACCATGCATGCTATCAGTTCATATCTTTCAAAAGAAGAAACAGTAAAGCCTTTTAAAGTTTCTATTTCTGAATTTTCTTACAACTCCCAATTTTACTTACTATATACCCAAAGTTTTATACTTCTTCCATAAAAAGGAAGTTTTTGACCTCGCATCCCCCAAAAACAAATAAACAAAAAACCTCCATATCATATTCTCGGTCAGACAAATATAAAATGCTGCTTCTATATAAGTGGTATCAAAATGACTACAAAATGACTGTGGTATTATAAGTGGTATCAAAATGACTGCAAACATTTAAAAGGATTTAAATCTTGCAAGCTATACTTGAAAAAATTCATATGCAAAGGAGTCGCCCAACTGCTCATTTTGCATAGTGCCAATACTTGAATACTGACTACTTTGAACAAAACTATGACTGTTTGTATTAGCACTGTTTGATGGTCCTGACTCATTTATCATGCTGTTATCTGTACAACTGAAGTCAGATCCCTCAAATGCATCTGACTGTGAAACAAAAACAGTAGTATTAGAACTGGTGCCTGCTGACATACTGGAAGGGGACATCTGATGGAGCTGTCTCAAGTCTCTTGGGTCTAACACTGAATTACATGTAGGGTTTTCAAGATTCATGCTCACAAGTCTTAGATTATCAGTCTCCCCCATGCTACCATTGCTGGTTGTCATCATATTCACAGGGCAATTAGGCAGCATGTTGGCATCAGAAATACCATATAAGTCAGCTGGTGACATGGATGATGTTTCCATTCTGCCCATGTCATCAGAATTGTTATAAATGCATGTATTAGAAGCATTTAAATCACTCCCTACAGGTTCCAGGAATGATGAGATACCCTGTGAATTAGAGGAAAGTGTCCCTGTTGAGAAACTATGCAGTGGATTTGTGTTGACTGAGCGTGAGGTGGAGTGGGCCACTGATGACCAGCTTGAAGAAGGCTGAGGTACCATTGAGGGTAAGGCTGAAGAATGATGGGACAATCCACTTGAGATGGACACAGGTGAAGAATAGTAGGATTCTGTTTGACTTGAAACTCCTGAAGACCTGGGCATTTCTGTCAAAACTGCATCATGAGAAAACAAGTTTGATTCTGTGTGGGGGGAAATGTATTTTACAAAATTAAAATGAAGAAATTATAAAAAGCATTATTTCTAAATTAAAATTACATAAACACACAAATAAAGAAAAATTTCAAGGAAACTGATACAACCTTTCAAATAAAAAATTTAAAAAGCACTAAAATTATTACATACATGAGTCTAAAACTGAATTCCGTAACATATATGGTTTTACAAATAAAGGTAAAATGCTTTTGGCAAATTACTTTGGTATAAGTAATTTCATTCCAGTGAAATATGAAAATCTAGCATCTGAGGCCCTAGAAAGGTATTCCTGAAAAGTGAAATACAAATATCAGAATTTCAATTAATAGGAATCTAAACAGCCCAAATCATCCCAAGTTCTTCATTTTTAGTATAAAATGGAAGGAGGGAGAAAACACTCATTAGGAATGATGACAACTATACATAACTTTTAAGATAAAATAAGATATGACCCTAAGATACTATAAAATTCAGTCAGAAAAAAATTATAGAAAAATTAATTTTGTATTTGCATATGATAGAAAGGCTGTACCAGGAAAAAGCAATGATTTAAGCATGTAAGGGGTGTGGGGCCAGGTACAGTGGCTCACTCCTATAATCCTAGCATTTTGGGAGGCCAAGGAAGGAGGACTGCTTGAGGCCAGAAGTTTGAGACCAGCCTGGGCAACAGTGAGAGCCCATCTACAAAAAATAGAAAATTCAGCCAGATGTGGCGGCAGGTGCCTACAATCCCAGCTACTCAGGAGTTTGAGATTACAGTGACCTATGATGATTCCACTGCACTCTAGGCCTAGAGAAAAGAGAAAGAGCCCCTGTTTCAAAAAAATAAAAATAAAAAAAATAAAAATAAAAAGGAAAAAAGAAGAATGTAAGGGGGGGTGGGGTTGGGGGAAAAGACTTCCAGGTTGAATTATTATTATTATTATTATTATTACTTTTTGAGACAGAGTCTCACTCTGTTGCCCAGGCTAGAGTGAATGCCGTGGCGTCAGCCTAGCTCAGAGCAACCTCAAACTCCTGGGGCTCAAGCAATCCTCCTGCCTCAGCCTCCTGAATAGCCAGGACTACAGGCATGCACCACCATGCCTGGCTAATTTTTTCTATATATATTAGTTGGCCAATTAATTTCTTTCTATTTATAGTAGAGACAGGGTCTCGCTCTTGCTCAGGCTGGTTTCAAACTCCTGACCTTGAGTAATCTGCCCACCTTGGCCCCCCAGAGAGCTAAGATTACAGGCGTGAGCCACTGTACCGGCCAGGTTGAATTATTTAAACTAGGGGTCAGCAAATTTTTTTTCTGTAAAAGGCCAGATAGTAAATATTTTAGGCTTTGTGGACTATACAGCCTGTGTTGGAACTATGTTAATATAGTGTAAGAAAACGCAGCTTAGAGGCAATATGTAATCAAATGAGCATGGTTGTATTCTAGTAAAACTTTATTTATATAAATAAGTGACTAAATAGGATCTAGACCCTTTCTTCCATGACACACTGTAATTAGTAAAATTACCACCCTATTAACAAAATGTAATTTCTTGAACAATAAATCCCTAAAACATAATGTTTCCAACATAATCTTCAAAAGCCAAGCTCAATTCATTCGATATTTAAAGCATGAAAAAATTTGTAGGAGAATAAAATATCAAATAAACAATTATTCATTCCTAAAACCATAATTCCAATATATCGTGCAAGCACTGGTCTTTTTAATCATAAGGAATGTTATATAGGGGATAAAATACCTTTTTTGATGTATCTTCCTTCTCCAATTAATCCTAGGGGACCAGGTCTTGGTCTCTCAGGAAGATTAACTGTTGGGATAAAGTTTTTTTCATTATTAAATATAACCTGAAAAATAACATTATCAGTTAAAATTTGAAAAACTGAAAAAAGCAAATAAAACAAAATCTATTCTATTTAAATATGAATCAATCCAAAATTTTCTTACCACAATCCTGCCACAGTTTCTGGAAAAGCAGAGTTGTTTTTTGTTTCTTTGATTTATTGCCATAAGTATCTGATTAGAAAGAAACCAGGAAAACAGGTGACTCAACATAAGCTTATGTTTCCTCTCCATTAACAAATAAATAGGTGTTTTATTAATATATAAAAAATACTTTAAATAAATGTACATAATATAGATTTAAGTATTGTAGACTATGTCCCAAATCAGTAGTAAAGGGCATTTTTCTCTTAGTAAAATACAGTTTAAAATATTCATCTTGTTTTCTTATAATACATATAAGTCAACAAAGGCAATAAGATCTGATAAGAACAGAACCAAAATAGGGATTACTCTCTGAGTAGGAAGTTTCCCATCTATAAAGAGGGCATAATAAGGACAAAAATAGACCCTCAAACATAGAACAGAAATTTTGATAAAATAGTTTACTATGGGCCGGGTGCGGTGGCTTACACCTGTAATCTTAGCACTCTGGGAGGCCGAGGCAGGAGGATCGCTCAAGGTCAGGAGTTTGAAACCAGCCTGAGCAAGAGTGAGACCCTGTCTCTACTAAAAATAGAAAGAAATTAATTGGACAACTAAAAATATATAGAAAAACTTAGCCAGGCATAGTGGTGCATGCCTGTAGTTCCAGCTACTCAGGAGGCTGAGGCCAAAGAATTGCTTGAGCCCAGGAGTTTCAGGTTGCTGTGAGCTAGGGTGATGCCACAGCACTCTAGCCAGGCAAAACAGTGAGACTATGTCTCAACAAAAAACAAAACAAAACAGTTTACTATGAAATTATTCCATATTAACCAAACCTCTTTCCTAAGAAAGAGACGCAAAGAGCATAAAGGAAAAAACCAACTGAAAATGTCCAGGAAAAGAAACATAAACCATGAACATACATAACTGTATTCAAATGGATCTTACTAGAAAATATAAGGACCAACTTTAAGAAATACAAATTATATGTTGTTTTTAAAAAAAGAAATATATAAATCATGACCACAAAAATGTCATACCTTTTTCATCTGGCAGATATCTAAAATCCATAGATTCGCTAACTTCCTGGTCAGAAGGTCTCCGAAGCTGCATTTTCACTGTTACTGGTTCCATTATAGCTTTGCAATATGGTGGAGTTTTGAAAACAATGGCTACTTGACGGTGTACATCAGCTTGTGAAAAGATACCTTTTGCTTCCCAATCATTCAATACAAAACGAACTTCTATGTCATCTAGTGAATAAGAAACCACAGAAATAATAACAATGAGAAAACAAAGTAAAATGCATCTATTAATATAAAATATATTCTAAATTCAACGAAACAAAACATAAATACCTTTCTGAACTTTGTCACAAAGTAGAAATATTTCATCTCCTCCTCTGACACTTCCACAGTTCTTGTTTACACGACAAATCTTTAATTCTGCAGTATTTGGAGCACCTAAATATAAAGGATTTAAAAAAAAGGTTGCTATCTTAGTAATATACTTTGTTCCTTTTTGAAGGGGAGAATTTGAGGAAAACCACTTACAGTATAAATATAAGTTTTAGTGTATAGATAAAAGACACTAAATACATTAATCATCTATATTTACCCCTTTCTTTTCTAACTGCTTTACCAAACCTGGTTTAGAGCCTTGTGACTTCATTTCTAGGGAATGGTTTGTCCTCTCATTAAATCTCTCAGCTTCTAAATTTTGATTCTTCAAATCCATCCTACACACTATCACCAGATTAATCTTAAGTCATAATTATATTCTTATGGCAATCTTTCATTCCTATTATGATCACAATAATTTTCCCTGGTATTCAAGGCTCTCCATGAAGAGGATACCCTGATCTACCTTTATAGCCTATGTCTCACTATCCTTCTATATACAAAACAGGCATAGTCATATACTACTGGTGAATGTATATATAAATGTGTGTACAAATATTTTAGAGGGCAGTTTCATAATCTACTAAAATGATAAACATCAGTATCTTTTGATCTAGCCTTTGGCTAACATTTCTACTTATAGAAACTTATGTTAGAGAAATATTTGCACAAGATATGCACATATAAGCATAATTATTATAGTTTGTTAGAGTAAAAAGAAAAAATGAGAAGGAAATAAACCAAATGTCCTATAATAGGATAATGATTTATTAAAATGACCATATAACAATATAATGAAATATGCTGCTACTGAAAAGAATAGGGTGACTGAAAGGAAAAGAGGCTCAAGATACACTGCTAAGGGAAAAAGGTTTTTAAAAAAACCTGTGGGGCCGGGCGCTGTGGCTCACGCCTGTAATCCTAGCTCTTGGGAGCCGAGCGGGCGGATTGCTCAAGGTCAGGAGTTCAAACCAGCCTGAGCAACAGCGAGACCCGTCTCTACTATAAATAAAAGAAATTAATTGGCCAACTAATATATAAAAAAAAATAGCCGGCATGGTGGCGCATGCCGTAGTCCACTACCCGGGAGGCTGAGGCAGAAGGATCCACTCGAGCCCAGGAGTTTGAGGTTGCTGTGAGCTAGGCTGACGCCACGGCACTCACTCTACTGGCAAGAAAGCGAGACTCTGTCTCAAAAAAAAAAAATAAAAAAAAAAAAAAAAAAAAGACCTGTGGGTCGGGCAGTGGCTCACGCTTGTAATCCTAGCACTCTGGGAGGCCGAGATGGGAGGATAGCTCAAGGTCAGGAGTTTGAAACCAGCCTGAGCAAGAGCGAGACCCCGTCTCTACTAAAAAAATAGAAAGAAATTAATTGGCCAACTAAAATATATAGAAAAAATTAGCTGGGCATGGTGGCACATGCCTGTAGTCCCAGCTACTCGAGAGGCTGAGGCAGAAGGACTGCTTGAGCCCAGGAGTTTGAGGTTGCTGTGAGCTAGGCTGACGCCATGGCACTCTAGCCTGGGCAACAAAGTGAGACTCCGTCTCAAAAAAAAAAAAAAAATCTGTCATGCTTTTTTAAAAAATTGCCAAAATTATATTGTGTGAATAATGATGATAATAATGTATTTGTATATATGTGAAAAAGAAACTGACAAAATAAGCACCTGAGGACAGTGATTACATTTGGAGGATGAAATTATAGGAGGTTTACTCTGTTATATTTCTGTAATGTTTGAATTTTCCTATAATGAACATATTCCAACTACCAAATACTTTAAAAAAATTAAACTATTGAAAAAACAAGCTAAGACTACAAATATAAGAAAATAAAGTACTTACGGTTATCATAAATTGGGTTAGAGACAACAGGAGGAAGAACAGTTGCCAAATTACCATGTTCATCAGGGAGGAAAACTTGAAAACATAGTCTCACCACGTTGAGGTCACAATCTTCAATATCAATCAGCTGTTTTTCAGGGACTGAACAGTACATTTTTTTAAAAGAATGTAGAATAGTTACACAGAACTAAAATCTTGCTAGGTCTTCCTCTCTGCCCATTATAACCAATAACCTTGAGTAGCATCCAAATACATACTAACAAAAATAAAATGGTACACAATTTCAAGAATGCCGTTTATCATCATTATCATCAAGTAGTCACTATCTAACAGTATTTGGTAAATTATAGCCATGTTCAGGAAGTGACTATCCCAGTTATCTGGGATTTAGAGCAAAATCTCAAATTGACAATAACAAATCAAAGTTTTAAAAAAGGTTTGCAGGTTTTACATAACAAAGAATAGGCATTCATTCCTTCATTCATTTAACAAATATGTATTTGGCCCCAGTCATTGTGGTAAGGACTTTGTATATTATTTCCTAAATGCGTACAAGAATTACTTTCATCTCCATTTTACAGATGATGAATTGATTTCAAAGAGATGAAATTACTTGTCCAAAGATTCACAGCTAGGAAATGGTAGGGTAGCAATTCGAAGTCAGGTAATTAAATCTAGACCCTATGCTTTTAAAAATTGACCTATTTTAGAAAATTTTACATATACTATACATAAAAATGACATACACAGGAATATTGCAGTTCTGAAAACAATATAAAAGCCCATGACAGAATATAGTATAATAAGAGTTTGTTAAATTGATATCTGAAAAAGAATTCTACAATAAAATATTATTGCCTTTTCAAACATAAGCTGTAGCAATAATAATACAGCCATATATCTAAAAAGCACGAAATACACAAATTCAATTACATGAAAATTTTATTTTGTAAAATATTAAATTTTGAAATACTAAATTTGAAAACACAGTTAAAACCCAAATCCCTTAGTTTCACAGGCAATAACTAATAAAAATGACAATGTATTTTGTACTATTTTTATTTAACAACATTTATAGTCTCAGTTGCTCCCACATTTAAAATTATCCTATATCAGCATTCTTAAGCCTCCTGTTTGAAAGAGTCTACAAAAACACATTTGTACAACTAAAAGACCAAAATGTTACACCAAAATGATACACATCTGTATCATAGCAGCATACTCTACTGGCATCATTATATAGGCAATAAGAGATCTATCTCTTCAAAATCAATTTTTACCACATTATAAATTTAGAGTACAAGATACTAGTGTCTTTCAATTCCAAAGATGAGTAATCAATATGCAAAAAAAAAAAAATTAGTAGCTAGATGCTCCTGAGAAGTTTAAAAACAAACCTAAGTGAATGGATGAACAAATTGTGGTATAGTCATACAATGGAATAAACTCAGAAATAAAAAAGAACAAACTATAGATATATACCCCAAAATGGATGTATCTCAAAGACATTATGCTGAGCAAAAGAAACCAGATACAAAATATATACTATGTGCTTCCATTTATATGAAATTCTAGAAAAGATTAAACTACAGTGACAGAAATCAGATTAGCAGCAGACTGGGGCAGAGACAGGGAAGGGAACTTCTGAGAAAGGGACTCCATTGAGAAAGGGACGAAGGAAATTTTGGAGGGTGATGGAAATGTTTCATAGCTTGATTGCTGTTGTGGGTACAGGGGATATATTTGGGTGGATTTTATTATGTCTCAATAAAAGTTGATTTAAAATATTTTCAAATGGTACATAAAAGAAAAATAAATAAACTGGTTAATAAAAGTTTAAAAACATTTAGTCACACGATGGTTCCATCAAAGGGAAGAAATTCTACCTACTTATCAAAAAATCATTTTTTATGGGATTATGTTTTGAATCTTCTTAACGTGTGGCAACACAGTTATCACTGCATCAAAATTACTTCCGTCTCTGTACAACATGGTTAAAGACTACTGACAGGCAGGCATCATGACATCCCTGTTTTTATCCAATGCAAGATTCAGCATAAAGTTGAAGACCCAGCTCAAAGCTTCTTTTCTATAAAGCCTAACCTCATTCTCTGAAATGGGAGGAATATCTCCCTCTCTCTAAATCAGTGCAGGACTTAATCTATATCATTCTATGTAACTCGAAGTATTTATTTTACATGATAATCATTATAAATGCCTCTTCTGCCCTGTTAAACAATGTTTCATTAAATTACTCACTGATTTGGGGTGATCTAGGGTTGCCAGTGCACCTAGACACCTGCCAGAAGAAAATCTTCTGCAAAGAAATATCATCAACCTAGGTCTAAACTCTTCATAATTTTTCATACAAAATATCTAGTATTCTACTTTAAATAACCAGGTATATTAGAAGACAAAATAAAATGATTTTTTAAAAAAGAAAACATTTGCTCCTCCCTTGCTCCCACTGTTTCACTTGACTAGCCTTAAAAAATAAAAAAATAAAACAGACAATAGAACAGACCACAAAGGATCCAAATAATGAAATTTTAAGACACATGATTTAAAATAACTATACTTAATATTTCAAGGAGTTAAAAGACAAAATTTAATCCATCTTTAATCCACCCTTTAATCCATCTTTAGCTGACTTTTGTATATGATGATAGGTAGGGAATCCAACTTAATGAAATAACAATTTTTTCCAGCTTCATTTATCAAACATTTCTTCCTTTCCTCTTCATCTGACATGCCACCACTGTCATACATTAAAGTCCCATATTTTCTTAGCTCTGTTTCTGGCTTCTGAATTCTACTCCACTGGTCAATTTGTCTGTCCTTACCCCAATACTACACTGCCTTAATTAATACTTTTGATAAGGTCAGTGTCTTCTCATTATTCTTCTATAAGGTATCCTCCTATTCCTGTTTAGAATTATCTTATCATATTTAATGAAAAATCTTGCTGGGATTTTGTTTGGAATTGCATTGAATTTGTCTCTCAATTAGGGGGAAATGGAATCTTTACAATATTACTATCAGAGAGTATGGTATAATTATCTATTCATTTAGCTGTTTTCTATTATAATAAAATAATTATACTTTTCCTTAAAAAAATCTTGATTATCATTCCTTAGATTTGTTTCTATGTATCTCATATTTTCTGGCAATATTTGCTTTATATTTTCTAGTTATTTGCTGCTGATGGATACAAATATGACTGGCTTTTATATATTCATTTCATATTTACTTACCCTTTTAAACTTGTTTTAATAATCTATTTGTATATTCATTTGGGTTTTCACTGTAAATAAAAGCTTCAAATACTTATAGTTTTATTTCATTTTTAATCCTTATTCCTCTGCTTTTTTGGGGGAGAGTCTCACTGGACTCGCTACACTCTCCACTACAATGCTCACTGCACTGGTTACAATCTTCACTATAATGTTGAAGAGAAGTGGTAAAAGTGGCCCTCAGTTTCTTACTGCTAACTTTAAAGTGAATGCTTCTCATGGTTCCCTCTTTAGGGTAATGCTTGCTGTAGGCTCTTTAATAGATAACATATCATTCCATCATACAAAACACAATGTTTTATTCTGTAATTTGAAAAATGATGCTCAGTTTTAACACAGTGTATAAAATCTAACAGAAGGAAGCATGAGACCAATCAAATTCTCTTAAATTCCTCTTAAACTAGTTTAAAATTTAACTTTATACTTGATCAAAAGAACACAAAGTAACAATTGCTCTCCTTCCTTTTTATGTTAAATGTTTAAGCTACCTGTAGAAATAACTATTGGCTCATGCCTGTAATCCTAGCACTCAGGGAGGCTGAAGCAGGAGGATTGCCTGAGGTCAGGAGTTTGAGACCAGCCTTGGCAAGAGTGAGACCCCCATCTCTACTCACAACAGAGCAGGATGGATAGAGGGAAGAAAAGAAAGGAAGAAAGGGGAGAAGGAAGGAAAGAAGGAAGGGAGGGAAGGAAAGAAAGGAAAAGAGAGGGGAGGGGAGGGGAGGGGAGGAGAGGGGAGAAAAGGAAGATAGATTACTCCTTAACCCTAAAATCAGCATGTGTGTAATGAGAATTTCATTTTTAATCAAAATGATATCATGCTATATTTCTTCTGGAAGTAGGAATTAAATTTTAAAAATCAATTATAGTATCTATTAGTTCTAGAGGTGTGACATTTGTAAAATGTTAATACTGTTAATTATACTAGAATAAAAAATAATGGCAAAAATACACAATACATGGATTAACAATTTTAAGAACTATTTCTCATTTAAGGAAAATATAAAATTCAGTTGTAATTAATTCACATCTGTTACCTAACATGTATAAACTATCCTGTATGTATAATATAACAACATATGTACAATATAAAATAAGTGTGTATGTGCCAGGCAAAAGGTAAATGGTCCCAGCAGTGTGCCATTAATTCACTCATTCTTTTGATGTATTTATTGAGCATCCACATACTAACAAGTGACAGATACAGATATGAAAAGACAATGCCTGATCTTAGTGAGATTAGTGTCTGGATAAGAAATAGGTAATCAAAATTATATAATGTAACATGAAAAGTGTTATTAATATAATGGGAATATGCTCAAGGAACACTGGAAACAAGAAAGTACCCAAGTTCTACCTAGGCTAATCAAAGAAGGCTTGAAAAACTTTTGACTGCAATGAAAAATGAACAATGAAGTATATGTGAGTCATTTCTTTTCTTCTTGTTTCTTAAGCTTTAAGTTTTCAGTTGTGAGGAAAGGCTCTTATTTTCTTGTATTAAACCAGACTTTAGAAACCAGAATCTATGTTAGAGATTGCCTGTCTTATTAAACTCTATTCTCTATCAGACTGCCGAATAATGTAATTCTCCCAAACTCTACAGTCTTTTGCTCTCATAGCAACTCATCCTTTGTAGATGGAAAAATAGTAAAACATCTAATAAAACTAAATTGTAAATTATTGTCAAAATAAATTTCATTGCACAGACTTTAATACAGTATTTAGATATCCTATGTAGATTAATCACCACATGTTAGAATTCCTAAAATATCATTACTTAAATACATAGCTAGAAAATGATATGTAATTTTTAAAAAATGTTCAGGTTTTGTAGTGAGAGTTCTACAA